AAATAACCCAAGAATCAACATCCAAATTGAAAAGCTGCAAATCAAACTGAGCAGATATAAACAAAATTAATCGTGAGCAGAATCTGTGAATAAACCTGGAAACTTTATTAATGATACCCCTGATTTAAACAAGAATATCTCGATTAAGGCTAAGCACTACTTGGTATTCAGCTGGTGAACTGAAGATTAAACAAAATAGGTTTTAAAATAGACAATCGCAAGGTTAATGATATGTTAAAGCTTACTCTACATTAAAAGGATAGAAATCTGGCAAAGTTACAAAGGTACATGTACTTGCCAGAGATGCCAGCAAACACAGGCCAGAGGTGCAACAAATTGATGTCTTGGTCTCAACCTAATGACAAACTGATTTATCAAGGCACACTTTTGTTAAAAGCATAAAAAAACTCGGCGCTAAAATTCAGTGCATGAAAGCAAATATAAGTGACCACTTCTACACGAGTGATGGCAAAATATTTTGTACATTGTATGGATATTATACAAATCTATAATTTTCAAAAATTGGGAGAATGTTTCTTACTCCCACACTTTAGAAATTATAGTTTGATATGTTTCATATACTAAATAATCTGTTTTTTAATAAATAAATAAATAAATGGAATGGATATAAAGACTACACCTTACACAACACGAAAAACATTTAATCAAATGGAAAAATATTCTAGATGGTATCTTCTGTAGCACAGTCACATTCTCCTATTCTCCTGCAGCAAGCACCTTGAATAGAAAAAAAAAATCACGCAACAAATATTAATGAACTGGAAAAGATGGATAAACTTATTTCTTAGTAAATATGCAGGAATATGCAATGCTTAACTAGTACAACATGAAATCAATAATATTGCATGCTATGCAAATGAAGTATCCTGGTGTTTATGGTATTCTAAACACTACACTAATTTACAAATGGTAATTTGTAAAACTTAAGTCCCCCACCCCCTACCACCACACACAAAACCAGCAACATCTAAGCATCACAAGTGAAATCAGTATAAAAATCTAGTCAAATGCTTCAGATGTCTATTTTGACTTTAGAAAAAGATACAGATTTCAATTTTTTTTCTTTTCTGTCTGAAACATTTAATTTTGCAAACAACTTGTTTTAGCTAGCATAAGACTAAAAATAAAACTGCTGAGATAAACTTAAACAGACTTTTTTTGCATTTCCAAAGCAACCACAATAGAGAAAAAGACTTTACTGAAGAAAAGAATATGAAAATTTTCAAGCAATGTTAGCAGGAACCCAAATTCCTAACTCTACGTGTAGTAATAGCTTTGGCTGCGTTCACATGAAAAATCTATTTTCTAAAAATCTATTTGCGGTATCTTGTGCTCACGGTCTGTGCCCTGAATACCCCACAGCGTAATTACAGGCAGCACAAGCCAGTTACTTCCAAAGTTGTAATTAATTCTCAGCGCTGCCAGTAATTACGCCGCAGGGTATTCAGGGCACAGACCGTGATCACAAGATACCGCAAATAGATTTTTAGAAAATAGATTTTTCATGTGAACGCAGCCTTTGATTTAAGAAATCCCATCTTCCACTTACCTTTGTCCCTGTGGACAAAAAGTCCCTGAAAAGAAAGAAATGCTTGTATATTAACATAAATACAAATTGTATCATCATGTATATTCATGTAATATTTCTATTAACATGTAAATACAACTGATATAAAAAAGCATAACTTTTGGTTCTCTATATATATTGTATGGTGCAATATAAGGCACATTTCAGTCCTTTACTTTTTTTTCTCAACGTTTAAGCCATATCAATGGTTTTAAATTGTTATAAAGTGCTTATATAATAAATCTCAGTAAAAAGGAATTAGAAGTTTGTTAAGGGGGGGCTGTACCCAAATAGGACTAAAAATCATGTTCTTATAGATAAAATCAACTTTAAAGAAAAATCCCCAAACCCCTTTTGTAGTACTGTGTTCAAGTGGTATAATACCATTAAATGATTAGATGTTTTGAAGATACATTAAAAGCATGTTTATAACTGCCCAGGTGCCTGAGAGAATCAGGAAACCAAAAATGATGTTTCTGCCCCAAAAATTCCAATATTACATCACACAATGAACTTGGAGTTGTGTTTCAAGCATACTTAGTTGTTTTGAAGATACATTAAATGAATGCAACAGGAATAAAAATGGTAAGACCTTTAATTTAAGATAAAATCTCCAACCTGCAGTCCTCCCTTAATTTCCACAATGTTAGTTTAAGCAAGGGCAGTATTCTCCATTTTAATCATCAGTTGTCACAGCCAATAGGTAAAAATGCATAAATATTAGCAAGCCAATTCACAATGATTATGATGACTATAGTTTGATATCAATGATTGATGTCTTTTATAAAAGGCCATGTGAAGTATTTGCTTTTGATGAGTTTCTTTCTACATGTTGTGTCGACATAATACAAGATATATCGATTTTATCACAAACTGGGCGTGACTCAACATGTTGAAATTGAATCAAGAAGCCATCCTGGCAAATAGCACCATTCTTGCAGGGCAGTGCTTTTTTTAATCCACCTGCCCCTTAAAAAAACTCAAAGTGAAATGTAACCCAATGCAATTTTCTGAATCAAGGCAGGTATTAAACCAAATCAATAATCATTTTTTATCCCTTGTATCTAAATGTGTACAACTTGGTTTGATCCTCAATGAGTTAATTTCATCTCTGTGAGTTAACTGCACCTTCCTCCATGATGAAAAGTACCTCACATTTGCCTACTTACAAATCTGTTAAGACCTCAATCTTGAAGATTAGTGTGCTTGCTCTCAGTGAAGCAGTGTATGCTGAAGTAGTGACACAATTTCTACATTACCCGCCTTTTAGATGTGTGTTTGCTATTTCCTGTACCAAAAGAAGGGATGGGAATGAATA